GTACTATTGGTATCGCCCGCCGCATATTATAGATATTGTAAAGAATTAGATAAATTTAAGGTAGTGGTCGGAATAGGACGGAAGTACGGCGTGACGTTTGGTCGAAGTACTGAAGAGTCAGACATCTCTCTCTCTCTCTGACTCTCTCTCTCTCTCTCTCTCTCTCCCTCTCTCACTTTAAAATACTACATGTATGTACTATATATAAATATCAGTTAAAAGTGTGTACATATTTATTTAGTATGCGAGAGAGTACAGAAAATGTTAAAATATTTGAATAGCCCTCTGGATCACTATATCGGGATAATCAGGGTCTCTGCGGAAAACATTGCATGACCCTGAGAAGAAATTGGTATTTTTCGATGAAATCATGAGACCCCATCCAGATTCCAGAGGGCCATGAGATTCGATCACCTTTTTCTATTTTCGTACTTTTCCCCGTGATTATTTTTCTTCTTTCAGTTCGTTTCTACTCAAATACAACCTACAGCATTGTCCCAATATATACGCGTGAGATTAATTATTCCCTGTGCAGTGTAAGGTTTGAACATTTGAAGTTAACTTTGGAGGGCTGTATTTAATGCCGACCGGAAAGAAGGTGTCATGTCAACGTGTGTCATTTGGAAATCTCACGATGATGTGATTTTCTGAGCCGTAGAATTTTGAACTCCACTATTGCTTGTGGCTTACTGAATGTGTATGTATAAAGCGATTAAATACGTCTTTCGGACTATTAAAATTTAATGTCACTTTTTTTACTATCACATGCTTTTAACTTTCACACCATACACTATGTTGATACTTTTGACAGCTATAATCCATTCAGTGCTAATAAAATGTTCTTCAAACTCGCTCTTTATGAATATTTCTAAAACCTAGACGCACCAACGAAAGGGGTTATATTTGGATCTAAGGTCACGCCATTAAAGCTAATGGACTACAGAAAACCGAAAATGCCAATATGCTGGCTAATAAATTTGATGATATGTAGATCGTTGTTGTCGTTATATATTTATCTTTAATATAAATGGAGGATAGTTTACTTTAGAATAAGTGCTGTGTTGGACGTAGTGCATCACCATAAGGCGATCACTTCAAATTGAAAATTCGGTGATGCGAAGTTTCTATCCCTTTGAACCCAGCTTTGTGATCCAGTGAAGGTTGCCACTTTCATCGACGTATCGATCTTCAATCCAAATATGTTTATCTTTGTATGTGCCAACAGATTCGCCGTGGGAACGAATGCGATTTGTTCTCGGATCAAAAAGTTGAACCTTCTTCACATCTACACCAAATGCATCGTCGTAAAAATAAGTTGGTGGTCCATAGTTTCCATCCACTCCTAATGTAGTAAATAATAGTGTGGTGTCAATTCATATGTAGACAGAATTGAAAATCAAAAGGTACTTTCTGTACGCTCGTGGTGTGCTTCTTGTTCACACGGTAAACTCATAGGTGCACGTACTTCAGCTATAATGTATCGTAATCTGCAGTATATAGCCCTCTACATACTAATCGTGGTAAAAGAGACACACCATACTACAAGACGCCATGAATACGGCGAAAGCCTGACCTAGTTCGAACTTGAGGACTTTGTTCACGAATGTTGTGATGAGCTGCTCAGTGAGAAAAATCTTGTCGTCTTCTGTTGATACAATAATATTGTAGTCCATGGCCAACGCGACACCACCGTGGGCAAGCATTGCCTGTACATCCTTGTTAGTGTTCTGGTCAAGGTGACGCCGGGCTTCAAATGCCTCCAAGGACGCAATCATACTTGAAACCGTCATATCAGTCAAGTATATTGTAGGAATGAAAAGAATACATTTTTTGTCAAAATGTATATGTACACACGATCAGCTATTAGTGTTGATTTAAGTGCACTGTTGACCTGTCATATAGCAGGTAGTGTTGTGGGGTTCCTGAGTATTAGGTTAGCGAAATCGACATCTTCAGTTCTACTAGTGTAATTGATCGTAAACGATTTTTAAAGTAACGAAATTATTAAAAAATAAATATATATAGGTGCATGATCATTGTCCTGTTGATACGTTAAGAAAAACGACCACATTCATAATATTCCTCTATCGTATTGCATAGCAATCCCTCTAACCCTAAACCCATATATAGTCCAAAGCAGCAAAGCGCGGGGTTTCAAACAAGGCGCAACACGGTCATACCATAATCAGCCAGATCACGGTCTATATATTTATCATCATACATTTCATATTTTATAGTTTTGTGTGTTTTTAGCAACGTCTTGAGTCACTTGGGTCAACGGTGTTCGTATTTATCTCAGAAGGATAAACTTTGTGGAAGTATTTACAAAACTAGTATGTGTTAACGTTAGGCATGTATACAGCTTTCGGTGTACCGTACGTGGAAGGATCATGGTCGTAGGCGTATCAATCTCAAGCTAACAGGGTTGAAATTTTTTTTATGGCTCTGCTAATTAAATACTAGCAACGAGTAAACATGGATCCTGGGGCCGCTGAGCAGTCTTTACAGGTAGTTCGTGTTACTGTTTCGGTGACATTGTATTCGTTCTGAGCTCTTCTTCTGATACTTTTCGGTTTTCTACAAATAGGACGACACACACACACACACACACACACACACATACACACACACTCTCTCTCCCTCCACACACACGCACACACATACACACACACTCTCTCTCCCTCTCACACACACGAACACACAC